AGCTATGAACACAATCTAAAGAATGCATATTTAACAACTCCTGCCCTTCACTTCCCTGGGAGTTTTGCCATCGATGGATCAAGCACTAAATGAAGATGACATGACAAACCACTTTCATCTTTTTAGATTGCTTTATTAAAAACAAAAACAAAATAATCTCAGAGATAATGGAGTCTCATTTACACTAACACCCCTGTAAACTCCTCTGGCAATTTACCCTGCTCTGGCAATATACAGAGGCTTTCATGTAAATGAGATTCAGGTCCAAACTGCAGTCATGCACTACTAGGGGTTTGGTTCCCATTGACTGCAATGAACATTGTATATATGTAAGGATTGCGGGATTGAGCTCTGGGTTTTCATGGCAACTGAAGATGAATGAAATTCGGCCAAAACATTTTTTGGCTGAAAAATGAAGATTCTGTGACACCAAAACATTTTGCGAATTCATGTCAATTTCCCCAAATTTTTTGTGTAAAAACCACCCAAAATTCCAAAAAGTTGATGAGTTTTGTTTCAACCGTTTTGAAATGAAACGGTTGATTTTTCTATTCAAAATGACCTTTCATTTTGAGATTGCTTTCAATTTTTTATATTTAAACCATTGAAAAGGTGCTTAAAATCAGAATGGAATGTTTTGTTCAACCTGAAATGGTTTTTTGGTTGTTTCATTTTTTTTTAAACCTTTTTAATCTGAAGAATTAATTGGAAGTTATTACCCTTCCTAGGGCACACTGACTGGTCACAATAAATCATTTTACTGTAGGAAAAGGGTTAAATCAAACCACAAAGCCCATAGAGCCTTAGATTTACAGCAGTCTAAAAGGGTTTGTAGGTTCATTTCTTAAACAGTTGAATTATAGCTGCTTCTGGATATTGATCTGTAAAGCACACTGAACCGCTAATGCTGCAAAGAATTAAGGAATGAGTAGCAGTGGGGAGATGGTGTTGGTTACAGTTTTTATATACACTTCAAAGTCACTTCCAAAAATGAGGACAAGATAATAGTTGAGGATCCCAGCAACAGACATAAGGAACAGGAATGATATGATGCGTTTTCCAAATATGTAACCAGGAGTGCTGGGGGGAAAGAGAGAGAGAAAAGTAATATACCAAGATTTGTCACCTTGCTTGAAAAGTGCTCAACCTCTATAACTGTCATTCAAACCACTTAAAATAGACCTCAGGAGCTCAGATCCATGGGCCAAATTCCTCATTGACTTGTACCCTTTCAACCCCTTTAATTTCAGCAGAGATGCACAGGTGTAAATCAAGGCGGGCCCCCAGTGCTGAATTCATGCTTCTTCATAATAACAAGTGCTCCATTTAAGAGACACGTGTCTTAGCCATTAAATATGATCATGTCTGATCATATTTAAAACCTAATTCAATAACCTTGTATTTTAATGGTATGTAAAATTTATGGGGGTCAATTTTGTACACCTGGATATTACTCACATTAACCTTAATAGGAGCTGTGTAGACATCAATGGCAGAATGGACCCCTATTCTTTCACTTTGCAAATGGAGAGAGAGAGAATCACAGAGACATACATTGAATTATCACTGTGAGCAGGAGCCTTTCCCCCACCTGCTCTGCAAACACAGTCCACAACGTGTGCCAAGTCCAAACTCCCCTGTTCCCAGAATTTTGTTTTAGTAACAAAGAAAAGAATAGTAAGATGATAGAAAAATCAGCTCCCTTACTCCACTCCGGCATCTTAGGGCTCTGCCAAGCCCAAGTGCTGCTCTGTGAATTCTTCTGCTCCAATATGTACTTGAGTATCTTTTTTTTTTTTAACTTTAAGTATGTGAGATAATCCAGTAAACAAACCTCTGCTTTCTTTAAACTACCAGTGGAATCACTCTGTCAATGCAGGTGCGTAAAATGAATTGGAGATAGTGATGGGAAAGTGGACCCTGTACTTTGTTTTATTTATTCCTTTAGTTGTAAACTCTGGGCACTTATACACAATTGATCAAAAATGCAATAACCTACCGATCCAGCCTGGCTCCAGAATAGACGGACATGACCTGAAGGTTAGCAAATTCAGGCTATTTTAGCACAAGGACAGGGGTATGTGTTCCAGAGGCAAGAACCCCACATGGAAAATGTTTTGAAACAGCCCTTTTAAACCAGGGACCCATTAGCTCTAGTAACTCTACCAAGTGCAACACAGGGAGAGAGAGGTGAATTCTCAGTTAGGCAGGTTCCAGGCCATTTAGGGTTTCATAGATCAAAACACCACCAGGCCTGACTACAGAGTTCTAGGGTGCTCCTAGCATGAAACATCGCTTAAGAAGCAGGCAAACATATTCGGCTCCATCTTAAATCATTCAAAATAGGCTTATCCCTGGTCTTGTCTGGGTTGAGCCTCAGCCATTTTGCCCTCATCTAAGCCCAGTCTCAACCAGACACTGGGTAAGACATTGAAACACACCAGCTGGGGTAGGCAGAAATAGGGCTTATCTTCACTGCAACGCTAACTCAAGTGATAGCTCGAGTGTTGCTTCTAACTACTCCCATCCACACACACAAACCCTTAATTTGAGTGCAGCAATGTTTTTAACTTGAGTTGGCTGGCCTGCCAGGGGGTAGAGTGTAAAGCTGGAGTTAGCACAACTCATCTGCTGCTAACACAACTACTCTGCAGTGTGGATGCAGGCCGCTTGAGTGCTGCTAGTCCTCCAATGCCTTCCCACAATTACCCCTGTGTGCCCAGAAAGGACAGACAAGTTCTCCCATAATACACTGTGAAAGAATTCATAGAGTGTCTCATCTTACTACAGCGCTAAGAACCATGGGATGGGCCCCCAGAAGTCTTAGTGTCATAAATGAGTGAATGTAGTGCCAGTGTGGACACAGCAACTCCAGTGTTATTTCACAATGTGGCCGCTATCACTTGAGCTAAACTAACTTGAGAGGAGTAACTCAAGTGTAGATAACTCAAGTTAACTCTGCAGTGAAAATGTACCCATATACATATTGAAGGGTGACAAGATGCCCTACCCATGAAAACGTTAATCACCCAAAACACTTGTAAAGCGCTCCAGGGAATTCTTACCTTTGTGTCCTCTCTCCCAGATAGCCAACAAAGTACTTTTGCCTCACAAACAAGTATATCAATCCAGCAAAAGCAGCAGCAGCTGAAAGGAAGATAAAGCAACACATATTACAAGCTACCATCCAAGTCTCCCATGTAGGCCTCATTATCCATAGAGGTCCGTATTGCTGTTCATGCTGGATGGGAAAACTGGGGAAAGCCTGTATTCTGAGAAGCAGGACGAGCGGTGGGATCCAGAAATTGAAGAAAATAAATTATGTGGAGAATTGCACGATATTTCCCGCCACCTTTGCAGAAAACATTGTGGGCCAAATTCTGTCCTCAGTTATACCTTAAAGTCAATAGGAGTGCTCCAGCAAAGCATGAGGACCAGTGCTGGGCCCACATGCAGGGCCATGCTCTGCTCTTCAATGAGCGCTGCACTGCATGCGCCCAAGAGCACAATCTGGCATATGTTCTGGTTTCCCCAGAAGCCCTGAGTACAGGGCAGCAGGTCACTGCACTACCCCAGCAGCAGGCCAGGCACCGTACTGTGGTCCGAAATTCAGTTTTCAGCACAAAAAGGGTTTTCTTTGTGTTTTAACGCTGGCTTTTCCCAGGCCAGCAGGCCAAGCCCCTACTTGAGCCCAGCCAAGAGTCTTCTGTCACCCAGAAACAATGACTTACCCTGGGGTTCAGCAAGGCACTCAAGTGTGTGCCTGACTTTAAGCATATGAATACTCCCATGGAATTTAATGGGACTGCTACTCACATGCTTAAAGTTAGAAATGAAGGCTAGTCTAGAAGGCAGCAATGAGCAATGCAGCTTTCGCAAACACCCCTACACGCTGGGCACCATTTCCCAGCAGCAGTCTGACAGCAGTAATCTCCTCTGGCAGTGTCCTTCCAATCTGCCACCAGTGGTGGATTATAGGAGGTTGAATGGATTGGCTACTTTGGGCCCTGTGCTCTGAAAGGGGTCTCCCAAAATAACCACGCTTCCATTAGGAACCCTCACTGCCTCGTCCACCCCACAGCTGGGAACTGGTGCCCCGGGTTCCTGACCAATCTGAGCATGTTTAACCATGAGCCATCCCTGTCTGTAATGTAACTCACAGAAGAGTGAGCAGCGAATACATTAGCAACTCGAGGCTGCAGGCCTTGCCTCTCTGCAATCTGGCAGAGTAACCTCAATCTGTCCCTTGCTGAAGCGTGGGGAGGAGGGGTCAGGTCACGAGCCTTTTTAAGAGACAATATTAAACTGAACCTCAGAAGACACACAAATTATATATATAGAGAGAGTTGAAGTACGTGTTACCTTGGCTACAAAGCAGCCCAGCACACCAAAGCACAACAAGAAACGTCGGGTATGCATCTCTGCAGTTTTGGCTAGGAAGGAATTAAAAAGGGGGAGTTAAAAACATACTGAGAACAGGAAAAATATCCTTCTGCCTTGAAAACACAGTTACCATCTTACATATGGAGCATCTGGAGATTTACCTCCCTGTTACCTCAGGACAACGAGGAGTGGCATCCATCCACCACGTCAGAAATAGACAGCAGTGCAAAATGGATGGCGTGTGTGAAATCCATCTCCTGAACTGCCGCGGTTAATCATGTCTCATATATTAAATGCCTGATGCACTGTATCAGCTTGGGCAACTCTTGTAGCCCCGGTCCATATTAATCAAATTATTGACAGTCAAAACTCAATAATAAGGCAAAAGAGAGGATGGGAATCACAGCAAAGACGAGGCTCTTGTAAAATCTGCCTGTAGTTTTTTCTATAGCTTACTAAAAAGGAATTATTTATGGCACTTTGTTCATAAGGGAATGTCGCTGTAGAGGGAAATATTCCTTTATAGGGCCTGGGATACACACCCATGCAGGGGAGTATATTTATGTATTGTAAAGTACAGAGCACGTTGCCAGTGCTTAAATAAATAATTATTTAATTTTCTTTTCTTTCTGGGGTGGGAGTGAAATTCCCCTTTTCAAAGACAATCACAAGTGACCGCAAGAACAAAGCAGCCTGGTCTAGTGGTTAGAGCACTGGTCAGGGGCTTGAGAGACCAGAATTCTATTCCCAACTCTGCCACTGACCTCCTGTTGGTCAGTTCACCTCTCTGTACCTCTATCTTGCCTGTTTAGACTGTAGACTCTCTGTGGCAGGGACTTTCTTACTATGTGCTTGTGCAATACCTACTACGATAGATTCCTGATCTTGCTTGGCGCCCCGAGGCACAATTATAAAATAAATAATAATGATAATAAAGTACGAGGGCCTGAGCCGACATCAGTGAGGCCTTTCCATTGACTTCAGTGGACTTTGGATCAGGCCACAAGCGAAGGCAAAGATTAAACTCAACAGCGAAGGTCTTGCTTTCTTCCCTGCCCCTCCTGTGTGGTTTGCATACTCACTTGGCAGTGAAGACACGCTCAAAGGCCGAAGATCCAGCCCGCTGGAAAGTCTTGCCGTTATAGTTCTTGCTTTCATGCTCCACTTTGGTTGCAAAAAAGGCTGTTAAAGAAAGGCAGGGTTTGTTTTGAGGGTTAAACTGGACACGTTGTGCATGCTCAGTATAACGGGCTGCGTTCTTCACTCGACAGCCCTGTATCCCTCTTGGCACCAGAAGGGTGTGCTGGTGTAAACAGAAGCAGAATTTGGGCCAACACAGTCTCATCTAGGTTTAACCAAGCACTTTAGTTCACAGATGTGACATGTAGTCCCTTCTGAAGTGCCTACATGTTTTTCTGGGGGGCCTCACTTCTGAGCCCAGTGCTCACAAAGGAAAAAGTTTATTTGCTATCTTGTCTCCACATCACACAGCTCCATATCCAAACTGGGGGAACATGCCTCAAACCCTTCCCTGAGTTACCTTTCACATTCCTGACATGTTGTGTTAAGCCCAACTGTCACCCCTCATTGGAAGAGACATCAGATTTTACTGAGCTCTGAGAATCCGTCCTCTCCCTGGTGATATGGAGGGTGTTTTGCCCTTTATCTCATTGGCTTCCATATGGGATTACTGGTCACAGCACCATCTCAAGGCTGGATTAACAACACAGCGGATTTGGGCTGGTTTTGCTAGGGCAGGCACCTGCAGATGAAACGGCCATAACTGATGGAGTGAAGATCAAAGCTTAGCTATATCACAGTGACCATTGTGTGGTAGATTCCCATTTCCATTCATTTGGGTGGAAACAGGGGTCTGGGTGGCAGCTACCCTCAGCTTTTACTTAGCCCTTAATTGGGAAACTTCCACTTAAAATCAGTGAGAGTTCCTCTGAGTCAGGGGTGAAGAAAAGCTGAGAAGGAACCTGAGGATTTGGCTGTTAGGTATCAGTGATCTGTGTTGTACATCTATGGTACAGAGATCTCAAACACACACCCCTGAATTGTTTTGGGCTTGTGTTGGATCTCAAAGGACCTCTACCATGAACCCTTGCAAAAAAGTGGAACAGATTTTTCTTTTGCACATCCTCACCTGTCCCACCCTTATAATTTTGCTAATTTATAAATGGACACAGATTTAAATTTACTACTAGACACTAGAGTCACATCTAGCCTGCTTTCCATGAGGATCAAAGACCCAACTGGTTTTTAAACACTGACGCTTGTATATCCTGGGAGGGCCATCCACTACCACACTTTGACCTGAGTCATAAGAGTAGTTCAGCAATGACAAATGGATGTAGTGTTATGCCAAAAAGGTGCTGCTGGCCTGCCATCAGGAGTCTTGTATGGAATCACAGACTTCTGAAAATAAATGGTTGTGCTAAAGCACTTCCCTTTGTGCCCAACAGTAGGTGCATCTGAAATCCTGGAGTAGTGCACAACAGCTGGACACAAAGCAGGGAGCTAGGTCCATGTGGCCAAGGGGAGGGTGTGGTGCTAATGGGGGTTCCCAGGTCAGAATGAAGTGATGCTGGCTGGAAAGATGAAACACTTGGCCCAGACATTGTCTCCATTGAAGGCATGCAGCTCCTATTCACGAAAGTGGTGTGAAGCCTCTGGGTCCTGGCCAACTCCTTGCTAAGTGTGGACAACCAGGTAGCATCAGTTGCCAAGAATACTTTCTTTCACCTCCCAGGTTCCTGGGAAACTTCACCACTTCCTCGTGAACCTGGCCACAATGATCTGTGCATTTGTCATCTCCAGGCTGGATTTCTGTAACTCACTGTACATGAAGTTGAATATGAAGACAATATATAGGCTCCAGCTGATGCCAAATGTGGCTGCCCCCCTGCATGGCTCAGGCCACTGTAAGAACATCAGGCCTGTGCCCACATTTGTCCACTGGTTCCCAGTTAGCTTCCAATGACAGTTTAAGGCTGTGGTCCCAATTTTCCAAGCAATTAATGGATCAAGCCCCAGACACATCAAAGAATTAATTTCAATCTTGAACCACTGTGACTGATGCACCCTTCTGGGACAGTGCAGATCTCAAAGCCCAGGATGAAGCATGGGAGAGCTGGGGACAAAGCTCTCTCTGTTGTGGGGATTCATCTATGAAACACTTACAGAGGTGATCAGATGAATCCAGAGTCTGACCATCTTTAGGAAATACTGCAAAACCTCTCTCTTTGAGACAGCCTTTCCACCTCAAGTGACACTCACAATACAAATACCCTTAACAACCCATTAAACCCTCTCCCTCTCCTCCCCAAAAAGTCCCACCCCAGCCTATCCCAATTAAAATTCTGACCCCGTAAAGGCAGAAATGCCAGAGAGACTCCATTGAAGTCCACTCGGGACTTCATTATTGATATAAATTTTACATGGAAGGTGTTCAGATGCTGTGGCGATGAGTGGCAGTATAGATAGCTAGATACAGTTGCCATATGACCTTGTTAAGAAGCAGAGGCAGAGAGACTGCCTCTGCCTGGGCACAGCGCTGGCTGGAGTAGCTGGCTTGGGATTTCTGGAACAGCCTGTGTAATGGATGTTTCTACTGCTGTTCAGTGAAACAGGACTTTGGGTATATTTCTGTGTGAAACTGATTTCTCATCCAAATGGAACCACCCAAACATGCCTAAGAACTTTGCTGAACTGGAACATTAACATAACTTCTCCCATGTGTGTTGCTTGTTTTTTAATCTCATATTCCTATAAGCTATTTTTTACTCCATTTATCATCACTTTCATTATGGGGCTAACACCATAGATAAAAGACTTTGGGGGAGGAGGAAGGTATACAAGTCTGCCCTTACACTGCCCTTGATTGGTGGCAGAGAGCCGCAACAGAACACAGAGACGGGACCATTGTGAGTTACACACAAGGGTCAAGTGCAGTGTGTTGCATGCCCTGAGTGTGTGCTAATAACATCTGAACACGTTCCAAGGAATCCCATTTTCCTTTGGGTGACCTCGTAGGTAAATATGGGGTAGTGCTGGTTCCGGGTATGAAATGCAAATTCAGCTCACTTTACCACTTTTATGATTATGCATTTATTTTTATACACACACACACACACAAACGCACACACACACACATGGGTTACACACCTTGGTTCTTGCTACGTCTCCTTTGTGCCACTTCGTGGAGCAAAGAAGATATAGGGGAAGACTCACCTGTAGAGATCTACTGCACATCCCCACACCATATAGCTGTACTGGGGTGTGCCAAGGTGTGACCATAGCACCCCTCAGGCAGTTCAAATTTGCACCAGGAGCCAAATTAAACCTTGCTGCCCCCAGAAGCAGGGGAGGGGAAAGATGGCTTTCAAACCACATTTCCCCTTCCCGCCCCCCAACTTGTCTTACCTGGATCCTGTGCCAAGCATAGTTCTTGCCAGACCCAAGGGTTTGGATCAATAATCTGATGGTCAGGTTTCAATGCAATATAAAATGTGCATGGAGTGGAACAAGAAAAGACAAGTTTCCTGGATGGATTAAGTAAAGGAATTGTATTGGAAATATAGGTCTTTGGATTATGTCTCCCCAAACTCCTCTGGTAAAATAACTGGAAACATACCTGGGCACATCTATTAATGGATGTGCCTTGATTACCAGGGGCCGAATTCTGCCATGAAAGGTGAATGCACAACACAATTGATGATGGTTATTTACTTGCCAGTGCTGTACAAAACAGAGTAAGGCACAGTCCCTGCTCCAAGATCATCATCTCAAAGCCTGTTCCTGCAAACGCGTAGTGCCTTCATCCGAAGGCAGAATTTGGGTATAAACCACAAACACATTGCTTTTGTGAGAGATAAGAGCTCTCTGTCAGACTGCTCAGCTGCATTTTCACTCTGAATGGTGTAGCTCTGCTTGTGCTGCACCCACCCCCGCTGCCAAACTAAGTAGCCCAAGAATGATCTACCCCTACATGAATTCAGTTCCTAAAACTGCACGTGGTGCCTGATCCAAAGCCCATTGAGCACCAGGGTCATCTTCCTACTGACGTCAGAGGGCTTTGGATGAGGCCCATAATGAGGAGGTCAGGTATCCATGTCTCAGGTTGCCATCTCACAATTCTCCTGGAACTTGGGGCAACATAAATGAAATCATTTTTTTTTAAAAAGTCACCCATCTGTGTGTCTCCTGTGTCAAGTTTTAGGGGATTGAATATGTATAAGACATGAGTGCCAAGTAAAAAGTTTGCAGAAGAAAAACATTTAGTTTGCCTAAGGAACCTTAAAAGAAACTGAGCTAAAGAGATAGCATAAGATAAGATCTGAAATATCAAATTCCTCTGATGAAGGATGTTTATAACTTTCTCAGCCATGAAGGGGTTAAAACTAGCAAACTGAAAGACTGAAGAATGAGTTTCAGGAAAGTAGGATAACTAGTTAACCTGAAAAAGTAACCAGGCCAGAATCTTTGCTGGTATAATTCAGTACAGTACCCTTGATCATACTCATTTACACCCGCTGAGGATCTGATCCATGTTTCATGTCAGTCGCTCAACTTCCCAACCTCTTTCACATCCAAAACCAGGTCTCTGCTCTTGGACATTTTTACAGAGGTGCAGATAGTGGCTGCTAATACTGACATATATTTAATAACCTTACTATAGTAAATCAAAGATCAGTATCATATCACCGCTAATATAGCCAGCCACTAGTACAAAAAACCTGTATGCTAAAAGGGGAAGGGGATCAAAGAAGTTCTGAAACCAAGCTTCCTCATATATGCACACACACATATATACACACAGAGCCATATACAACAGGAGAAAAACGTATTAAAAATAGGTCAATTTACATTTCATATTCAATGCACAATAGATACTAGGAATTCTCTACCCTCTTTCTCAGCTTCCTCTTTCCCCCTAAAATAAATGGTTATCTTTTCTTACCATTTTGGAGAACACTGATAAGGCTGACTATTGCTAGGAGGACAATGCTCCCCAGCACTTCATGGTCCATTTTGGCAGCAGGCTTGTCAGAGTGGACTCTGTAGCCTTTTCAGCAGCGCAGCCCCAGAAAGCACAAGAAGAGGAAGTGACAATCTATCTTATCTTGCATCATGAAATCTTTCTGATGGCTTCACAGCACGACACCACAGCCCCTCTT